ATAGTTCAGAGCACTTCTTCTGCCATGGAGCTCGTACCCCTATCCTCAGGAATGACATGAAGCCAGGTGACCTGGCTTGGCAACGGCAGTGCACTACATCCTAGCCCACTTTGCCATTACCCCCAATTTCTTTGTGGAACCCCTGATGACCTATCATATGGAACACCAGGGAGCCACAGAACACAGTTTGAAAGACACTAGGATAGAGTAACACAAGCTGTTGAATGGGAGAAAAGCCAGCACAGCCATACTAAAAACTTGTTGGAAGATGGGGGAAGAGAAATTCCCAGGGATATCACACAAACTTCTTCTTGAGCAATCCATCACAGTTGAGGATGAGTGTCTTTCATGATTTTTTTATCTGTGGGTCAAACGATGGCTGATGAGGCCAATCTTCAGACTCTGCAGCAACTCAGGCATGTGTTTCCAGGCAGGGTGGGTGGATCCAGATTTGATTCAGTACATGACATGCTCTTTCTGTTGCTCCCACTTTTCCATCTTCTGTTGTCATCATAAGATTTCAAAATACTGAGATCTTTGCAGCAGACCCTTCCTCCAATTGGGGCAATCTCTCATGACTTGTCAAGGTGGCATTTCTTCAAGTTGGCTTTGAGGACATTCTTGATGCACTTTCTCTGCGCTCCTCTTGAACATACACCTTGACTGAGTTAGGAGAATAAAACTTGCGGAAGAAAAGCAGCTAATAACTGGGATATCAAGGCCTATCAAAAAGGAATAAGGTTACCATCTATGTCATTATTATTGTCTGTGTGGGAAAAATTCAGGAATCAGGTAGGTTACAAGATGCCACAAAGCCAATATTAGTGTTAAGTCCTTGGTTCCTAGTGTCCAGCCACCGGATGAATTTTTATTCCCCAAGTTCACCTTTTAAATGTATTGGGTACCTCTACCTTGAGCATGAATGAGGTCAGAGATGGAGTAGTGGTCCTGTGAGAAACGTGCACCTAATAGTGTACATGTGTCTGTCCTTTATATTTTATGTCTGTAAGAGTTCAGTCTGATACATAGCTGCTGTTGACTTTCACCCACATAGCTGCCATGAGGGCACTTGATGCATTATATTAGATATATCACATTAATGGGAAATGTGGGAAATGTAGAATCCATGCATTCTAATGGTTTTAACTGTAGTAGCACTGTTGACACATTAAGCATTTCTTGCTAAGAAAATGCTATGTTCCACTTTACATCTGTTGGACAGTGGGAGTTTCCTTCTGATGGATGGCAAGGTTAGGGGGTTGTTTGAAAGCCAAGAGTGGAGGGGCAGGGAATATTTCTCTCAAGGCCTGATCTTTAATCAAGTCTGAAGTTGTTTGAGGATTCTTTTGATCAGTTCATGTAGGGTGGTACCAAAGTACCAAGGTTGTTTGGTTACAGGGGGGCTTCTTTTTGGATTGTACCAGGTTACCAGTAGGGTACTTGGGTAGCTTTTTCAAGTATTCAGCCTATTTTTTTTTTTACTAGAGGGTCCTTGTTTGTATAAAGGAATATTTTACATCACAAGAGTTCTCCTCAGAGCAGATGTGCTGGTATCCAAGGGCCTGACTTTAAACTTACAGAAATTTTCCCTTAAATAGCAGCTTTCTCTTTTGTGCTTCTGAGATGCCATAAGAGCACTGCATTTCTCACAAAGAAACATCCACAGAATGTACTGTCTGATATTGCAATTTGAATAGGAAAGCTTGACAGGTGAGGGACGTGTTATCCACTTATATTATAGCTCTGAAAATGAAATGCACATTTTTTTGTTTTGTTTTTTAAACACACCACCAAATAGACCATACATCCCTAAGAGAGCAGTCTGCTCTTTGCCTTGGTTTTGCTTTTGGCACAATAATGATGCCTTCAGCTTAAAAGCATAGTGAAATATCTAAAAAGGATAAAGTGCGATTGATAGTTATAGAAAATGATTAAATACCATCTACTTTATAGCAGAAGAAACTTAAATTCACTGACAAGGCTACACAACAAGATGTACAAAATACTACAGGACTTTATTGTAGCTACGTGTGTGTGTGCACGTGAGACAGCTAAAGGACAGACAAGACGTGAAAACTAAACTTGGTGTCTTTTCAACTTACATTTGGCTACTTTCTGTAGGCACTGGTGATAAAATGTCTCTTGCTTCCTCATTGGCATATTCACTAGTATTGCTGGTACTAGTATGCATTGTTGAAAGCCTACCTGCAGAGCTAATGACATTGTATTTCAATAGAAGATCAGTAAAACAGCACCATAATTGCTGGCACAGAAGAGAACTGAAATAGCAATATTCTTTTCTAAATAGCCAGTGTCCAATGCTGACAGTAAAAGAGCACAGAAGGTGAAAATGACAGTACTAGAAAGTTTACAATGAACAATGATCTGCGGTATGAACTGATTGTTTTAACTAAGGATAATATTGTTGATGTTATGCACACACTTTTTTGAATCACCCCTCAGGATGACTACAGAAATACTTACAAGTCAGCCAATTGTGAACAAAACAGTGTATTGATAAAGTCAAAGTGAATATAGCAATACTATTTTGCAGCAGCTGAGGGTCTAAGCCAGTGGTTCTCAGTTTTTTTAGGGTGAGGCATCCCTCATTTGACTCAAAGCACCCCTCCATAATTTGTAACTTAAGTGGCACTCAAAAACTAATTTATTACAGTGCTTACCTCCTTGCAGAGGGACTGGACGGTGGGGGTGGGGCAGCAGCCAGGCTGGGACATATCTGAGCCTGCACTTACTTCCTCATACCTGCTTATCTCCTCACACCTCAAGGTACCCTTCAAAAGACCTTGTGGCAGCCTCACAGAATCACTAGTCTAAAGCTATGGTTGGTAGGTAGAACAGACATTAGGCATAACAGATTTATTTAGAACCACCATGTGGTTTGGAGCAGCCAAGCTGTTTTCATGAAACCCAAACCTGTACCGAGATGAATAGGAATGATGTCATTCATTTTTGTAGAGATGTATCAAGCCCCTGTGCAAGCCTATGCAACCACATTAAGCTGTAAGCTTATTATCCCAGTTTAAATAAACAGGAAGAAGGGAAAGAGAAAGTAAGCTTGTGCAGGACGCCCACTGTGCACAGCCACTCTACTGCTGTATCACCCCCCTCTCCAGCTGTTGTCACGTGGGCAGTGCCAGCCCTCACCCCCTCCTTTCCAGAGCAGCACAACATCCGTGACCTCATACAATGCGAGTCATTCTTCCCTCACCACTGTGTGAGCAACACAAACCCACTCCCCTCACCACTGCCACAATTTCAAGTTCAAAATACCAGCTTTGTTAGCTACCCGCTTTCAGATCAGATAAGTCTACTGCTTGATGTTTCTGCTACCAATATTTTTTGTTCTGTATCAGCACTGCATCAATGTGGTACTAACAAACTGTGCAATACAAGATATGCTGGTTTTCAGGTAAGTAGAATAAATGAGGACCTGTGGTCTTTAAAAATCTCTTCTCAAGCATAGGTAGTCTTTGAAGTAGTCTTCAGGTTATTATAAAATGAGATCCTACCTGATACAAAGAGGACTTTCAATAACCCCAAGTCCTTTTTGTAAATGGAAGGAGTTTCCTCCAGCATCTTTGAGGAAAGTTTTCCCTCTTACCACTGTTATGCAGTACGTTGCATGCAATTAATGCTTCTTGGCTACTGCCCTCCCATTGCAGAGGTCAGTGGACTACCAGTTTTGCATACAGCTACTTGTACAAAGTTTTGAGGACCTCAGCAGGCTCCATACAAATATAAAGTGCGACTGTAAGACAAAATATCTCAAAAATCATCCTTATTTACAGAGTAATATTATGACCTTGTAAATTATTTCATTACAAGTGGCTCTAAAATAATCATCATATACAGGAGGGAAACCATTTATTCTCGATTCCATTTCAGTTGTTATACAATGACTTTGAAGCTATGTAAGCTGCTTCCCTGGGTCAGTAACTAATTTTAAGGAAGGAGTACCCAAATGACATTTGTGTTCTGATCCAGTGGCCATCAAGCATGGCCTTCAGAACTCCCAAATGATAAAATATGCCTATACGATATACTTACCTATTCAGAAGAAAAGCCTGAAGTAAAACACAGAATATCAGTCCTGCTCTATAATATATATGTGGGACCTTTAGTTTCTTCTAACAGCTGTTATCAAGCAAAAGGTTAATCCATCTCAAGGATAGGAAATTTTTGCTGCACAGATACAGAAAAGGAAACGGATGGGTCTGGATCCTATTCTCCAGACTGGGCCTTTATTTTGTATTCAGTTCTTCCCTCTGACATTCAGTCATCCATAAAGAAATGAGCCCCACTTTCTAACAGGGGGAACAAAAGTAACAGATCTAGTCACACCATCCAAGAACTTGAGGTGGAATCAAAAAAATCGTTTCAGGGAGAACATCTAATTTGATATTCCACAGCTACTGATGGAGATCACACATCAAGTATCTCCTGTGCATTCAGAGGAGAAATTAGCCTTCAAAATCTTGTATTCCAACTGTTGCCAGAAGTAGATTGCGAGAAATTCTTTGAGCAATTAGAACAATGTTAAAATTACACCTTGTTTAAAAAGCAAGGATTTTTATTGTGTTTTGATAATTTCAGGATAAAGAGCAACTAGAAAAGCTCTGCTACTTGAATGAAAATAATCTTGTCTAAAAGTTCACACTCTCAACCCCAACATTATACTCTACCGAAGATCTTAAAACCTTCCCTCACCCAACTGGCCCAAGTGTTGATCTAGAAATGCCATCCTCTCCGTGCATGGACTCTAAATGAGAAGTCTGCATTTTCTTTTTAGAGCCATTCTCTTAAGATTTTGGCCTCCTGGGAGATTTTGCATACATCTTAAAACATAGCAACATGTCAGGCACCTAGAGGTTCAAATTCAGAGTTCTGTTTTTCTCCCTAAAAATCTTAATTTTTAAGCTTTGTAAGCTTTTCACATTTTTACCAATATTTCCCAGAAAAAAGACCTGGAAAACAGATTGTGACATTTCAAGGGTGTACTTGTGCATACAGTGGTGAGGACAATCTTTTATCCTAAAATCCAATGTAAGATAATTGAAGAACAATCTCATTTTCACACAAGTCATTTAATGTAATATGTAGATTTTACATCTCATAGAAAAGGGATAAAATTAGAAAAATGTAAAAACCAAAGCAACAGAACTATACAATCTTACTGAAACTATATCAACTTCAATTTCAGCATAAAATAATTATGCATTTTGGCCAACTTTAGCTCGTTTAAAAAATATTAATCAACAATCATTGTCGGCTGCCTTTTCCATTTTCTGTTGTTTCCATGCTGAAATACAAGAAGGTTGAAAAGACTGGTTAGTTTGGATGTATAATCTGCTTGCAAGTCACTCAGATAATTAAAATTAAAAGGCAGATCACTAATTTCATATAAGTAGTCCTTTTAAATTTTTCAGTATCCCACCACTTATTTAAGTAAAAATTTCTAAGTAATTGCTATGTCAAAAGAAAGCAAACTTTCTGCTTACAACTGTGCTACATGTGCAGTAAGGTCCACATATAAAAATCCCAGTTAAGCCTGACAGTCTATTATCAATATCAGTGGTTGTTAAATGATATGAGCAGACTTGTGACCGAGGAGGATAAGCTTCTCTGAATCTTCTGCACTTCGTTGGTTTGTGTCAAATCCCTCATGGAACTGAATCTTTTTTCCTTTATTTTTATCCTCGTGTTCAAATCACTGACTGCCTACACTCCAATGATTACTTCACAGCAATTCGGCTTGTGGACAGATACAGGATATGGATTAAGTTAGCATTGTTTTATGAAGGTATGGCACAAGATGCAAAAAGTTTATCGTCTACGAGGTTCAAATTGGTGGCTTTTGATATTAGATGCTGTTTTGGAGGATGGATTGAGTGATAGCATGGCACACAAGGGATCTGAGCTTGTCCATAATTCTGCTTCTGCCAAATTTAAGGAGTGGTACTACATGGCAGTCACTGGAAAAGGACGAAGGGAATCTTAAAACAGATTACAGTCAGGTCACATTCAGTCTTGCTCAGCAACTAAAAGCACAAACTATAAAAATAAAAAAAAAACCCAAATTTTACTTAACGCATGAGGTAAAGACTCATCTTAGTAGATAACTTAGTCCTCCATATAGCATTCAGCTGTTAGTAAAATATATTTAGTATTGTGTATTTAGCAATACAAACCCATTGTCCTCTTTGAGATGTTGATACAGCTCAGCTTTGTTGTTGACAGAATTCAAACGACCAATAAATTCTTGATGTTTCCTAGAATTCGCTGTATTAATCCTATTGCTCCACAGAGACAGCAAGGACATAGGCCCTAGAATTCCATATGGAAAAAAATCAAAAAGAAATCTGATTAATGGAGTCCCAAATACAACCCCTGTATATGAACAAGTTATACTATCTATACAGTGCCACAGTGCACATCAAACACGAATGGGAAACCTGGCCTTTACCCCCATTAGTTTACAACATAGGTAGGATGAACATGATGGCTGCAAACAGGAGACATTTAGGTAGTGTAAGATTAGGGGGTCACTAATCTTGGTCATAACTCCACACCCTGCCCAGGCTATGTGCCTAGATAGAGTGGTAAATGGAGCAGACAGACCTCATGTGCCATAAGCAGAGAGGAGCTGTTCTACATCAGTCTGACTTTACCTTAAATGCATAAAACTAGACCTCAATTTTTTCATTGCTCTATGTGGAAATGGGCTGTCAGGAAATAGGAATGAAAGGAGGCATTATCTCTTCCAGATGTCCCAACACAGGAACTGGGCACCCTCACTGTCATTCAGCTGCAAAGAAAAGGGGTCACTTATACTTCTTTCAGCTCCAGAACCTGCTGCAATCTCCGAAATGCAGTTGCTTAGCTGACATACATAGGGTTCACTGGTCCAAAAAAGTCTTGAGTCAGAACAACCAAAAACAATGGACAGCAGCAAAGACTACCAGGAATATTCTCTCCATTTTTTTTTTTTTTTTAAATATTGAGAATCTCTCCTTGAGGGCAACTCCATCCATCTCTAAGACGGTGATGTAGCTTCACGTTTCCAAACTGCAGCCATCCAAAACACCTGTCACTAGAACCTTGATATAAAACTGAGTCATCATGTTCCATTTATTAATATCTAGTAACTTATAGTAGAAAAGTAGATTACAGATATGCATGAAAAGAGTCAGAAGACACCTTTGCAAACTCTAATTAAACTCTTCAAACATCCGCAAGCCTCAATTCTTCTGCAGCTGATGATGACAGAAGAGTTGGGTGCTTTCTCCTAAGCCTCATTCATTCACCGTAACTGGACTCTTGTGTCTGATACACTCCGTTCTACTTTACTCGGCGCTTTAACTGAAATGTTCTTTTTTAGATACAAAAAATTCTCTCAATCTAAATTCTTCCAGAGTAATTGCCACTTATGGTCTCCAATAGGTTGTTTCTTCTTCTCTATTTTATCCTGGTGTTTTTTCTGCTTTAGTGACACCTCTATGCAAAAAGTGATCTTTGACTACAATTCACTTTTTAGATCAGGAACAAGAACAGCCTTCAGCACAGAGAAGTGCCTTACTGCATAAACAAACTGAAATCAATGGGATTACACATGGTAAAAGGTACTTTTTCATTTGAGAACCTGTCAACCTGGCCTCAATGAACAGCAATCAAGGATACAGGTTTTTTATCGTAATACAAGAATCCATTCCTAGAATTCTCACCCCCCCACTGTCCAAAACTGTTCAGCTCACAGCAAGATCTTGCTCGTTTTTCTGTACAGGATTTGTCATACTCTTCTATTAATCAACTGTTTTTTTTTTAATTTTAGTGTTCATCTTTGGAAAATCCTACTGGGTATATTTTTGCTTTTGCATACAACTTAGCAATAACTCACCTTAGCACAGAGCAAATAAATCTATGTGCAGTATTACAGTATATCATAAATCTGGCATGCTTGGGACCAAGCACCTGCTGGATATTTGAAAACGTCAGATTTCTGAAATGTAAATAAAGTGCATGGAGCACAGGGGTAGTGGCGGCTGGTCACTGCCCAGCTTGCCGGATGCAGAGAGGGAAGCTTGCACATGGTAGCTGCCACCGCATCCACCACTCTGCGCCGCCGTTCTGCATGCAGCTGTTACTCCAGGACCAGCCGCCAAAGTGCCAGATTTCTGAGAATTCTAGATTTTTAAAACCCAGATTTAAGAGGTTCTATTGTACTGAAGAGATACACCTCTAGGTCACTTAAGAAAAGATTAGTTACTGTGATAGCCATGTAGGAAATTTTGTGATTCAGATCAATTTTTACCAGAGCTGCCATCTCTTAAAATTCATTTTCATTACTGACCTTTTGCCTTTTCTACCGGTGGCATTTCATCCATTGTAACGAGAGGCTTTTTGTTAGGTGGTTCAGGAGAATCAGGAGAGTCTTTTATGATTTCAGCTTCAGCCAGTTCCTCTTTTTCCCGATCTAATACACCTTTTAACCTTTAGTTTGGGTGGGGGAAGAAATGAAAATGAGGGGAAAGGCAAGAGAACAGAGCATACCATAATATATTTTTGATTTCCAGTGCAGTTCAAGGTCACACATTACGCCTATCCTTGTACACACATTTTGTTTCAAGTGATGAGATATGATAGAGATAACAGGGAAGCTACAGGTTAAGCATTACTTTTGAATGTAGGCAGAAGGAAGTAGGAATCACCTAAAGCAATTTAATATGAATAGCTATTTATAGAATGCTCATTATTCAGATATTGAACTGTTCTACAGATTTGTTGTTGTCAACAATCAAAACAACCCAAACCCACTCCTAGCACAGGCCCATCTGCCTCTACAATAACAAGGATGAGCCTAAAATAGATTACTAACATGCAGGTCCCTACTTTTGTGTCATTCTACAAAAGACAGGAAACTGCAATGATCACATGAAGACTTGAACATTACCTGCAAGGACGGCACCTGAGGCCAAACCTTCTCTCAGCCATCTTGCAAGTACTTAGACCAGAATATATGCAAACTGAACTTAGGGCTGAGTAACAGGTTTTTGGAACATCCACTTGGTGACCTCTTTAGAACAGTACTTAAAGGGTGGAAAAATAGATATCATATTTTCTCTCATACCACATACCCCCAAATACGAAATGCACCTTGTTTGGGGAAAGCAGAGTAAAGAAAAGGAGACTTTTCTAGTCATGCCCAAAAGCTGACCTCCTGGAACATGAGCAGAGGCTATTCCTTAGCTCACTCTCCCCTCCTTCCCTCCAATTTCAGACAAGAGCTAGTTTTAACCCTCTCAGCCACTACAAAATTGGCAGTAGCTTTTAGTTGAGGATCCACTTTGGTAGCAGCTATGAGAAGGTTAAAATTCTAGCTCTGATGTTGGGGAGTGGACTGCATCCTTGTAACATGCTGTCTGTGAGAAAAGAACAGCCCCTGGCAGCCATTCCAGCATATCCATGCTTCATTCAGGTGCAGAAACCAACTTCCCTGATTAAAACACTCTCTCCCCCCACAATTTTGGAAGGCTAATTTATGGGGGGAAAGGTGCATGGGGTAATGTGTGTAAGTAAATACAGTAATAAAGAAATCAATGAATAAGAGATTTGTGAAAGACAGATTAACTGACAGTTTCTGATCATACAAGTCATAATAGTGAACATCAATGTCTTCAGTTCCTTAACACATGGACAGTAAGTCTGAGTGAACATCAGTATTTCTTGACCATGAAAGGTATTTCATACAGATAAGCCTGGATTACCTAAAATGCGCAGGGCATCTAAATAGCCACAGAAAAGAATTATTATATAAACCCCCCCAAAAAACTCACCTCTCTGATTCCTGCCAGGGCTTATCTGGTTCATAATCTTTTCCTGATTTCTCTGACTTGTCCTCTTTTTCCTCTCTCTTTCTCCCCCGTTTCTTGCGCTCCTCTTCTTCAGGTGGCTTGCTCCTACAAGCCAACAGGCATTCCAAGACACGCTGGTGTTTATCAGAGTTGTTTATGTGTGCTCTAACAAGGGTCTCCAATTCATTCCACATAATCCGGTACTGCTCATCCCTACAAGAGGGCATAAAAGTATATCTTTACTTATTTATACACACAAGTGTGCATGTATGCGCACACATGGCTGTAAAGTCATTTGTACATTAAAAAGAAACCAAGATTAAAAGAGCGTAACTAGTTGATTGCCTTCCCTCCCCCCCGCCTTTTTTTAACAGTCTCTATCAAGTAAGCAGTTTCTCCATTTTCCTTGGATTAAAGTCCTATTTGCTCAATATTATTTCATTCTTGGCATGAAATTACTGGCAGCAGCGTTAACTCCCTGGGTTCTGGAGCCATGCCAAAATGGCAGCTTCAACAACTGCAGGGGTTAATGCTGCCACCACTTGCCCCACTGCTGGAGGCAGAACATCCAGCCTGAGAGGGCCAGTAAGTAAGGTAGACACCCCTGCTATAGAGAATTGTCATAACATCACTCTACAGACTGTGGATAAGACTGGAGTCTTTCAGTGGTGACTTTTTCCTTTGGTTTCTGTCCTGCAAATAATTAAAATTGAAGAACAGGAAATGCAGGTCACTATGAAAATAGATAACATATATCAGAAGTCTTCCAAGTTTGATTTACAGTCACGTTCCATTCGTAAATAACCAATTTCAACAATGATAATGTTTTACAGTTTACTTTTGAAGAGCGTCTCAAATATGATATTTGCCATTTTTCTTTATTAGATATGATCTAATCTCTTTCCAATTACACTGAAGTTTTTCTTTAACATAAAAGGGATTATGATTATTACCATTCTAAAAGACGCAACCAAACGATATACAAAATTGACTGTGTGTGCATGCGTGCATGTGCGTATATTAGCTCACTGGATTCTAAATCACTTTTGATAACCCCATTTAAAATACAAGTTTCACATGCAGTTGTGACACTATTTTAGTAAAAGTAGACCGTAAATAATTCTTAAACCTTTTTGGACCCTTTCCCCGGGTACCAACTGTTGATATTGGCAATGGATCATTTTTCCTCTCCATATCTACCAAGTTGTATATTGTTTTCTGACAATTCAGTATATCCTCATCCGTCAGGGCTTCTTTTACAATCACGCTGGCTAATGGCACCACCTGCAATGCAAAACAAAAATTACCAAAAAAACCCCCGTAAGTGTTAAGAAATCAAAACTAGAACCCACAGTAGAACCTGCTATTGAAATCAAATTCTTTGCCCCCAAATTGGAAACAACTCCTGACATACATTCATCATAAACTTTTCTTTCTTAATCCAAAGGCTTTGCATCCAAGTCAATTCTATGTCTCCCTCTGCCTTTACTTATAGCAGTGGTTCTCAACCTTTTGGTCCCATGGGCCAAATGAGTAGGTAGGGATGGTCTATGAGCTGGATTAAGTCCAGTGTGCCAGGATTGAGGCCTGAGTCCCAACACTGTCCCATTCCTGCCCTGTGTACACACTGGGAGTGGACCCTGGAAACTGGCACTGCCCCTGTGCACTGGGATTGAGCCCCAAGGGCTAGGATTGGGCCTTTACTCCTCCAGTGCCAAGATTGGGTCCCAGAGGCCCACTGCCACCCCCTTTCACCAGAATTGGTCCCTGGGGGGCAGGCACTGCCCCTCTAGCCCCAGTGTGCTGGGATTGGGTCCTAGGGGACTGGTGGCATCTCCTCCCAGCCCCCATATGCTGGAATTGTGCCCTGGCCCTGGCCCAGCCCTGTGCCGCCCTTACCTGCACACTGGGACTACCCATCTGATCCAGCATGAAAGTCCTGGGACTCCCCATGGGTCTGTAAATTTGGCAGTGGGGTTGCAGTGCCACCATTTCCTGACCCATGGGGAGCCCCACAGGCCAACTGACTTGGGGACACAAGTCAGATCTGGCTCATTAAGCCAGGGGTAGAGCACACCTGAGTTAGAGTTATAATCATAAATTATCCACAGCATATTTAATCAAAAGCGAAAGCTAAACCTTAACTTACTGTTATAGTATTTGTTTTTTCCTGTAGCATACTCCCCATGTATTAGCTTCCCATCTGCCCCCCTTACATTAGCACTTCCCAAAATACACTTTGGAAATATGCTCTAGAACAGAATAGAAAAAATAATAAATTCAAGGTCACTTACAGCTTGCATGTTGAAAATGGTAGTCTGAGAAATAATCATAGGCCAGTAACGTGTATGTTTCTCTAACTGATCTTTCGCTCGTTCCAAAGGAATCTCAAGACTTCCTCTGGGTTCTAGAAAAGGAGTTAATCTGTTTTCCCTCATAAATTCACCAAAATCCTGATAACCAAATAAAATAAAATTAGGATTTTGTGTAATAAAATAACTTTCATTGAATGGGTTAAATATCAGAGAGGGTTTCACAGGTTCCTCCTTCCAGGTCTTGCTCCTTGCATAGTCCTTACCCTCACACCCCAGTCTCCCCTGTTGGCTGGAAGTAGGAGTTGGAAGAAGGAACCTACATAACACTCAAAGCTCCTCCCCCATACCACAGTGGACTCCCTGCACAACTAATCCCCACAGCTCCCAGCTGCAGCCATCCAATTCCCAGCTCACACAGGTTTTGGGGGGAGCCCTAGAGCTGTTTCTGACCTGCTCCCACCCCATGCTGCAAGGAACAGCTGTGGCAGTACACAGATTTCTCCTTCCAGCCTGCTCCTGTCCAGAAGAGAAGACAGGGGGAGAGAGCCAGGCAGGGAAGGAGGAAACTGCCACCACCAGTGCCCCAAGCCGAGGCAGGTTCCCTGCACAGCTACTCCCTGTAGTTCACAGCTGGAGTGGTGTGATACTTGAGTCTAAGACGAGCCTTGGGTTTCCCCATGTTCAATGGGGAAAAGAACTCATCTTGGACTTGAGTAAATAGGGCCTCTCTCCGATTCAGTTAACCTATACAGTACAAATCTACCCTGCCCTCTCGTAGCTTTCCTTATAAATAAAGTGTAACAGAAAAAACCCCCAATGCACTTAGGTCTAAAGACTAGAAGTTCAGCATTCAGATGCAATTCTACTTTGGATGTATACAGAAAACATTTAAGGAAAAGTCTGACAATCCATAATCTTCAAATGAACACCCACAGTGTTCAAAATCCATACTGTTCAAGGTTCAGTAAATTTTAGAATGTGCAATATGCTTTCAAATGAGACAATAAAGGAAATACTTAAGTTCCAAATACAAGGGTACTAATGAATTTCAGAGCTCCAATTTTCTTTTAAATATGTTCTGTCTGCCAATTCTGAAGCTCCTCATTGTGACAACCATCCTGACAGAGACCTGTATAGGCCTAGTTCATTTCACAACACTGTTAAGATAAACAGTGTTTTATAAAAAAAAGAGTCACTAATGAGAAGATCTTGATTTTTTACCTAAAACAAACAAGTACAGATGCAAGGGGGGCAATAAAGTGTATGCATACTTGATGGCTGACTACCAATGGTAATGTACTGAAAATGGTTGACCCAGGTAAGTTAGGCAACCTGGGCAAGTGACCCATTTCCTTATTGTACTGGATGTCTGATTCAACCCATTTCCTTCACCCTTAAAAATCTGATGAATTGCAAGTAAAACCAAAAACAATCAGTAGAATCTTACTGTAATCCTGTAGTCTGTAACTCTACCACCACATCCTTCACTAATTGATGGGGGATCTTCTAAAATTGATCGAGAGCTGCTTAATACGTGCAAAAATATTTCTCCTCCATGGCTACTAAGCATATGGCTAATTACTTTAGAGCCTGATTTCCGTGGCTGTTCCAACAAAACAGAACGACCTATTAAAATTGAGATCATTTTAGTTAATTATGAATTGCAACTTATATATGATTTTACCTTGCCCAGTGAACCCTAACTGTTAAACTAACCTACAGCTATCTTACTAAACTGGAATTAGGAGTTCTACAACTCTTTCCTATTTGATTTTAATTCCTGCCTTTAAATGAGCTATTATGAAACTTAATGCTGTTTTTGTAATTTTGATATAGATAGGATTTCAACCAAATACTTTTATTTCTTTTTGTATATTTATAACATTTAGGTTTTAGGAAGATACATTTGTAATAAGGAATGAGAATGCCGTATTATATATAATCAACTTACAATTTTCAACAGCTTATGTTTTATCTTTGTAAACCAAAGTGCAACCTAAACACAACACACTGTTTCACTGAAGACCAAGACCATGGCAATTTTAAGTAGCTACCCTGTGTTAATTATTTAAACGTAAAAGCATCCTTTTTTCTTTTAAAGGGGCATAATTTTCAAATATAGAGGTGTTAAAAATAGCTTTATTTAAGTTCCCTAAAATTGAGTTAGGAATGAAAAATTCTATCCTCTAAAGAGTATTGTTTGTTACAAGAAAACAAAAAACAGGGAGTCACAGAGCTTATTTTCTTGAAATATATTTTGGTTACTTTCAATTCCAAACACTGAAAACAAGTCAGTAGGCTCAGTTGTTAGAAAAACTAGACAACGCTAATTACATTAAAATAGGTATGAATTATATTTTTAAACATCTATTTCTCTTCCTCTCCACAACCCCCCGTTTGAAAAACTGTAGGGGAAAAAAACCTTCCATTTTAAAAAAACGTACTTCTAAGTACATTTTCAAGAGTACATAGCCTAACACTTGTCATTAAAATAACTGTGCAGGCTATTTGCAAGAGAAGTGGCAAAACAATTAACATTTTGCACATGTATTCATATTCTGCGGAGGCCTACAGTTTGGATCTACTTTCAACATTTAAAATGCCCACCACTTCAGGCAACATGATTTATGGCAGGAGTCTGTTTAACTGATAAACTGCCTGTTTAAACTAATCTTGGGCATACCAAATTACACTGGGATCAGCCAATTTCATTCAAGCAAAAAGCCATCCCAGTATACAAAAACAGAAGTCAGAAACCCATGACCTGCTACTTAGATCAACTGTAAAGTCCAGGATTAACCGATTTTTACTGAAGGCTGACAATCTTATATATTATTACTCCTACTCATAACTGGATGCAATTTAGACTTGAAAAATAAGTTACAGCATTAATAAGGAGAAAGAATTTTTAGTCTCTTGAAGGAGAGCTGGCAGAGGAAGTAAGAACAGATAGCAAACTCTCCATCCTATACTAATTCAGTAGAAATGGATTCATATTTTGCACTAACATGCTTACTACTTATAAGCTGTTTGTGAGGACAAGAAAACCTATCATCTTATTTTCTGATGAGAAAACACCGTTTTTCAAAATCTAGCTAGTAATGCATACTCACTTTTTCTGGTTTATTGATGTTAAAATGTGATAGCTCATCACAATACAATTCTTTCCCTTTCTTCTGCTTCCTATTTCTTCCATTTTTCAAGGGAATACACATTAGGGCTATGCGAAGTTTCGGGTGGTGATTTGATTGAGAGGAGATTCAGCCTGATTTGACAGCCCAAACTCCAAAACCAAATCAAATCAGTAGACCAATAAAAAGGTCTGAATTGATTCAGAAAAGATTTGGTGAGTTTCAGAGATTTGGGTAGTCCCTGCTCGCTACCACAGGGAGCTCCGTGCTGTTAAGTAGGGGGCGGAGGAGCTGCAGAAGGGGAAAGGGGACCATGGGGGACCCCCACCAGGCCCCATCCCCCACGGCTGCCCCACCTAGCTCCAGCATCCCGGTTCTTTAAAAAAAGCCCTGCACTCACCAGTTGCTGCAGTGGCTGTCGGGGTTTGTGGTAGAGCCCCCCACACAGCCTGGGCAGTGGGATGCAGCGGGGATTGCCCCCCAGCCAGGCACCAGCTAGTAAATGCCAGGCTTTTTTTAAAGAGCTGGGACTCTGGGGCTGGGAGAGCAGGGAGGGAATGGGGGCTCATGACAGAGCCCCCCATGCAGCATGGGGCAGTGGGGATCGCTCCCCTGCCTGGCAACAGCTGGTGTGTGCCGGTTTTTTGTTTTTATTAAAGAGCCAGGAAGCTAGGGCTGGGTGGGGCAGCCACTGACGGGGCTGGAAGAGTGGGCAGGGGGTGGAGCCAGTCTGATTCGGAGATACGGCCAATTCGGTGGCAGCCAAATCTGTATCCAAAGCGAATACTAGCTGCTTCACACAGGTCTAATATGCATGTCATATTCTATTTGTATTCAGGCACACTTATCAGTAAAATTACCATGGTGCTTGTCTTTTACTGCATTTATTATTGGTTTTACATAGAACAGGTGATATGTGACCCTATAATAACCACTGCATATATAAATTTTTAACACTGCAAGTATACAGTGCAGTTGCTATACAAATTTTTAAAAAATAACTGTTCTATCAGTAACATCAATAGCTAAACTTGAAAATGTTTAGCCAAGAAAACAATTTACCATTAAGAAGAAAGTTAGTAAGGCAGGACGATGGTCGGCTATTTACATCTACAGGGGAAATTCTGTATGCTCCAGTGCAATAATGTAATTCTGAAAAATAAACAGGCAAGAATATTTTTAGTGTGGATCCAAAAGATTGAAAAGAATAGACTAAACAGTATGGAGGAGAGGGGAGGATGCAGACATAAGCTACTGTCTTGCCCACCATATTCTAAGGTCTTAAATGACTGTAGGCCTGCAGAATCATCTGCACTGGCTGCAGAAATTTGTTTTAAGGCGTTTTTTTGTTGCTGCTTTTGAGGAGGGTAGGAAGAAAAAAAAAAGATACACAGGGTCTCAAAGTTACAGAGCCAGGTAGAATATTGTAATATTCTAGAACTGATGAAGTAAACCATAGAAGAATAATGGAGAAGGAAATAGGCTAGATGTTCAGTCATTTTCTTTCTGCTGTACTAAAAATACAACCCACTGGAGAAAGGGTGGGGGGGGGGAATCCTGGTTTTCCCCCTTCTGTGTAAATAAATTACACACTAGCCAGGTCAGGGACATTCAATGCGACAAAATACTGACTGTTGGCCAAATCACGATGAAATGCAGGCTGCAGTTTCTTTGGAGGTCTCTTGGCTAGCAGTAAATTGTAGTCAGTGGGTGCAGGAAGCAGAAAGGAAAGGGAACAGCAGTACAATCATCTGGCATTTATTATGTCTGGGTAGCCCTGGAAAACCCCTAGTACATGGGAGTTTCTCTCAAATGCTTACAGAAAGTACATTACCTACCAACACTGTTTGTTCGGGGTGTACACCACTTTAATGTTACTGTTTCTTTAAATGTGCCCTCTCTGCTATTACCACCTATGTGATTATCACCTGTAACATCAAGTTAGAGAAAATAAATCAAATCACCAGTGTTCATTTTTTTATTACTTTAGAATGTAAATAAAATAAAATAAAATAAAAATCTAACTGTAACCTTTAGAGTAAGCATATGGCGGTACTGTAAAATCAATCCCCACTAGACTGAATGAGAATTAAAAATAGGCTCTTTTCAGAAATTTGAACATAACAAAAACTATTATTCAACACAGAAGTTTAACAAAACTCAAAACCCCTCACTGCAGGCAGAAAGCAGACACATTCAAGTTGTACAGCATAACAGCTATATGTAAGGTCATGAAAACTTGTGCCTTATGAAGGCATTATATTATTTAAGATGGTAGCCAAAAAGCCCCATTTGCAATGATTTATGAAGAGAAACAGCTTGCTTTAAACATCTCACTCAGACACTCAGAGGAAAGGGAAGATCTTCCATGCAAAGATCCTGAACTACCATTATTATTATTTTATATTTATTTTAAACAACATATCTGAAAATTATAATTAAAAACATTTCTAATAGAGCACATTTGACATTTTGATTTCCTCTTTTTCCTTTTGGACAAAAATGGTCTCATAATTCAATTTGTTATCTTATTAAGTCCAATATGAATACCTCTTCACATGTTTTACTGGCCACATGTGTTAAGATACGTTGCTAAATACCTCCTTATAAATATTTCATTTGCAACTGGTCTGACAGGCAGCAGCAAACCACAGGAAGGCTATAAAATAGAGAGGCATATCAATGCTTCATAAGCACTGAATCACAGCAACTTCTCACTAATTAATGCTTTGGGCTAGTCTGCACTTCCTAAAAACCATACTTCCTCTGTGAATTTTGCATGAAGATTTAAATAATGAGAATAATGGTCAGCAGAGTCAATGAAATTTAAATGGGACATGCTGCCTAGCTAAGTCTCCCCTTTATAATATACAGTAAAATCTCTGTTATTCAGCATCCCCAGGGTAAGGGGACTGCCAGTTACGTGAAAACTAGCCAATTACCTGTCAAAAATATGATGGGAGGAGGGGAGTGGGTGTGGACAGAGCCCCATGTCCCACCCCGTCCAGGCGCACTCCCCCCTTCCCTCCTGCTGCTTGGGGTCCAGGCCCACTCCCCTCCTCCCTGCTGCAGCAGGGGGGAGGGCATTATCGGGCTCGAGGGTGGGGACAAGCTGGGCCACCGCAGTGGGGAAGGGGAAACAGAGGGCCCGGGCTGACTCAGCAATGGGAGGGAAATGGGAGGAGCGGGCCCAGGCTGGAGGGTGGGAAGGAGGCTTACTCCTCCCCTTGCCCCTGCCGCTGCCATGTCAAGCCAGGCCTGCTGCTCTTTCCTCACTGACCACCACCAGCATGGTGGGTCAGCTTCTCCCCCACTTGGGCTCGCGCCTCCTCTCTCCTCACCTGTCAGGCCCGGGCCCACTCCTCTGCTCTCCCAACCATCACCACAGAGCACCCACTCCTCCCCCACCTTGCATCAGGCTCACTCCTCCCCCCACTGCATGGGCCCAGGTCGGTCCTGCAGGTGGTGACAATGGAAGGGGGCATGGGCGGGCCAAGGCTAGCACCAGTAACCTAACCCCCCTCCCCCCCGAGCTGTTCTGCCCCCCCATGCCACCGCTGTCACCTCCAAGGAGCAAGGCATGAGCTCTATCCCGTGTCCCCACCATCATGGCAGCGCTCCGCCATGCTACCACCTCCTGTCCAAAAGCTTCTTTGCACTCTGACTGGATGTTTGTCAGCCAATCAGAGCGTGAATAAAGCATTATGGACAGACAGGTAGATTAAGGTGTTTATAATATTATAACTCTGGTTATCTGACCCACCACCCCGGGAGGGGTGTGGCAGCAGCCGCATGCAGAGCAGCGGCAGTGCAGGGTGGTGGATGGTGGCAGCTGCCACCGGGTGCTAGCCTTCCCCTGGCCCTCTCCCCACCCCCAGTGTCTGACCAGCTGGCCAGAAACTCCAGTTAGTTAAATGCCAAATAGCAGAGATTTTACTGTATTAACATAGACAGAATTTGAATAAGCCACCTGCTCATGTAAACTTGTCTAATATTTTTCCAGTAAAGGGAAATTAACTTCTGCAGTATCCAAGCTTTTATGGTTGCAGAGAAAATATTCCAAATGCAACCTAGAGGAAATACTATTGCCTTTCTCTGCAAAATCTATACTGCTACTGAGAGTTATAGCTTCATTTTGGTGCACTTTGATCAATAGACTATTTACAACTTTTACTAAAGATATTCAGAACCCCAGTGAGTTTCATTTGGCACATGGCTGGAAAGGGGACAAGAAAGTCCAGGTAGACAGACAGACATGAAACAGGTTAAATTAATAGCTAGAGTACTAATCTATCCTTGCCTACCCTTGCAGGAGAAAAAATTATTTGGGGTGGTATGGGAAGAGAATGATCCCTCCAGGAATCAGAGGGTTTTTAGGGGCTTCACACATTTATCATATACTTGACATCTTTTAGCCAAAGGGTAGAAATCTACTGGATTGAGGGACACAAGTTTGTTGGCACCTCAAAGCTCTCAGCAGCTAGGAAAGAAGGAAGCAGAAGACAAACTTGGCTTACTTGGACTGGTTAATATTGACTATGGAACTATTCTTCCTTCATATCAGTTTTTAGTTGATCAATTATATTCTCTGGCTATTAAATGAATAGCATGCCTTGGAAATTTTAGATGCAAATGGAGACATGTGAAAAACATGCAAAAAAGAAGAGGAAAAAGATAAGAAGTACACTAAGCACTACTACAAGAAAGAAAAAAAGAACAGTGACTTTCAGGGAGTTACACTTTTAAGCACAGCAGTTAAAGGATGTAAGAATACACATCTGATTTGTGTCTTCAAACTGCAGAAAGAACCTGCAGGGGAGGGCACTCAGGCAGGAAAGTATTTACCAAGTGTCTTCAGAAAATATTTCTTCCAAAAATCCTACCAATAAGTATGCATATACCCCACTTAAATTTTACACAGAAAAATCCATACATTCATGTGAAAAGACAAAGAGTAAAACATGCAAGCAAAGAAACAAAACACCCCTGCATGTTACTGAGTAAGTAACAGTTGGAAAGAAAAGGGGGTGGAGGAGAAAAGAAGAGGAAAAAGGAATTCTGTTACTTTAAGTTGGGAAGGCAAAGATACTACCTGGGTTATAAAGAGCAGACCAGTCCAAAAGCATTACGGTACATCCTAGCATCTCTCTCCTCCCTCAGCTTTTAATCACTCATTCCCTAAAATCTGGAGCACAGTAATTTTAGAAGGCAATTTGGGGGAGTAACCCTTACACTAGCCCATGGCAGTGTACAATTTCCAACTTAAAAAGCAAACTAACAAAAAAAAAAAGTCACCCATCCTTCACCCACAAAATTCCAAATTTAGGGAGGGGAGTATTTTATTTGTATTTTTCACTATTTTTTAAGATGGTTGATTATTCTTCTTCACTACTTTAGATAGATATTTTAGGTAAAACTCATATTTGGCCATGCAATATCTGTACATTCAATATTTTACAGATCATTTAAAACTTAGAACTTGGACAGCTTCGTGCCCTGTTTCTTAACCATTCTATCTGGCAAAACTATCCAAACTAAACAGCCTTCAGAATTGTGCTGAACTGTATGAAGCAAAGACAAACTAAGAAATCAAACAAACAAAAAAAAATCTATAGCAGAACATTCTTTATGAAATGTTATCTACCATACCCATTGATACATAAAAGAGGTGATTCTTTTGTATATTTATTAGATTCATCAGGTTCTAAAAATTTTAGATGCATCTGGAAGTAAAGCAGTAGGCTCCCAGCGTCATATTAATCCAAACACTAAAATCCTGGTATATGATAAATAACACCTCCTATACATTAAATTGGATTATGACCTGTCAAATAATCTATATGGTAACTATACCAAGGGTGACCAACCTGTGGCACTGGCCTAGGCAGCCTGTGTGTGTGGCACACAATAAGTCAGGAAGGGGGCAAGTCGCACAGTAGCAGATAAGGCAGGGAGCAGAAAACAGAGCAACAGGTTGGGCAGAGAGTGCAGGTCATGGAACAGAAAGCAAAGCAGTAGATTGGACAGGGAATACAGGGCAAGGAACAAAAAGCAAAGCAGCAGATTAAGTGGGGAAGGGATTTAGAATGGCATTTAGGGAGGGTGTGGGTTTAATTTGTGGCATCCCTGCCAAAAAGGTTGGCCCCCACTGAACTACACAACTGAATTATGTCCAAGTAGCAAAAAGCTTCTTGAAGGATCCCAAGATAAAAGAATAAATCCTGAATTCCTGAAATCCTGATCCTTGGAAAGGAGCCTGGAAAATGTGAGCAACTTTACTAACCAAGAAACAGCCAGTTCCTTGTCGCACTGACAAACGTTCTGAAGTACAGGACAGGATGCAGAGCTGTCTGTCCTAAGACTTCCAACAACAAACTTTATAATAGCTCTTGGATAATTTTTCAAAAACACTAAATGCCAAATCCAGATAGGGACTGTGCCATGCACAGTGATGCTTAGAACTGCTACACAACATTTAGGCACCCAAGTCCTGAATTGAAATTCATGACACCAAATTCAGCATCTAAGCTCCTTATATACAACACAGAATATTAAGCATCTAAGAAGGAGATTCACAATAGGCAGCATACTGAGCTGAAGTAGCCAAAAGATTCACTCAAAAAAGGAGTGTGGGGGAAATACCATCTTTATTTTAGATCTGGGCACCTCCCTATTATCTAGAATTAGGTGAATACGTGAGATTGGAATTCACAGTCCAACACCCCCTCCTGGACTTTAACTGTCTCTCTAGACCAGGGTGGGAAAAATGGCGGATGCAGCAAGTGGCTAGACTCCATTTCCCAGTAGAACCTGCCTGTGCTGGTCTGGCTAGTCTCCATGGAGACTCCAAGAGCAGCAGGGCTGTGATAGCTCTGTTCTCCCAGGGTCTCCATGGAGACAGCCCAAATGGTCCTGGCAGGGCAAGCAGATGGGCGAGGAGCTGTTCTGGGGCCAGGATCTTGCAGTAGTGACAACACAAGGCTGGAGATGGGGCAGAGCCATAATCTACCACCTGCATGCCCCTGCCCGCAAAACCTGCTCTCATTGCAGGGGTGTGGGCATCGGATCATGGCTCTTGCCCCAGTCCTGTCACTGCCACAAAATCCCAGCCCTGGCCCCAAAGCAACTCCCTGCTCAGCCATTCACCCTGCCAGTGTTGCTTGGGCTGGTCTCCATGAAGACCCTGGGAGCACAGGCCATTGCAACCCCGCCTCTCCTGGGGTCTCTAAGGAGCCTGGCTGGAGCAGTGCAGGCAGGGGCTGCTGGGAAAATGGAGTCCACTGCAGGCCCAATCCAGCCTGTGGTCTGGACTTTGCCCACCCCTACTCTAGACACAGATATTTGGCTCACACTTTTCTCCTAACCACAGTCACAGGTGTGGGCAAAAGTGGAAATCAGCAGCACCCACCTTTTATATAATAACCCTCAAGGTTACAGCACTCACTCAGGAAGAAGGAACCATAGGTCCTTGGCCCCCTCATAATCCACACCTTATTTTCCCAGGAGAGTGCCTTGACTACCAGGCAAAAAGTAACACTGGGGTGTCAGTGTGCAGAAAGTAATGAATGGAACATAAATTCAGAGCCTAGGAATTAAGAGGCTCTCTGGGGTTAAGAGAATCAGGATGCTAGTCAGGATTTCTCCCAACACTGGGACACTAGATAAATGCATTAAGCGGTCCTGAAAATAGGGACTCCAGCAGCACCACCACTACTATGCTACAGATTCAAGATCAGTCCTTCTCCCTTGATTTACCTGGCCTCATAGATTTTGCTTCAGAAGGAGAGATGTGGCAAGGCTAGCTGGGAGCTGTCTTCTTCTCAAGGATGTGAGAAATGAAGACTTAAAATCCTTAAGGCTGAGTAGTGTCTACAGATATCAGACGTTCTGTGTAAGTGCTCTAACTTGTAGGCTACTGCATAAAGGTGGACATTACTACTACCTCCTCCTCCTCCAGACATGATTTTTAACAAAAGTGACTAATTGCCATGTTCTGTATTGAATTCAGAGGTAGTAGCATGTTAGGAGACTCAGGCAGAGAGGTGTGTAGTTTGTGAATCCCACTAAGACATAAGGACCAAAGAGTTATCAAGATTCAGGCATCCAAGGAAACTTTTTGGTAAAAACTAAGGGCTCTATTAGAGTACGGTAAGTCACCTCCTACAAAGGCAGGTAAATGACAGAACCTACTCTGAATACATTACTTGCATATAATGCACACTGTGACCTCTAGCAACAGGTTTTGAGTTGTTGGGGGGGGGGATGTTGTATGCAAGAAAATATGGTACTTCAAGCAAGCACACTAATTTGTATTAATAATTTTTTTAAAACGCTGTTGAACAAAGCAGGTCTTGTATAAAACTTATTTCTATATCTTTTAAACCTAAATTAACAGGTTCTCTGTAAGCAGTACATTACAATTCAACCCATACAATCCTATCAGGAAACAGATTGATACATTCTTCAAGTACAATAGGAAATCTAAGATGGCAAATAATTATTAAACAAATTTCTCTCAACAAAAAACTACGTATAGAAAAGGTCTGTTGATTTTAAGATTTACATATACTTACTGCCATCTAAAAAAGATAAAACATTTGATTGCGCCTATAAGCCCATGAGTTTACCAGGATAGAAAGCAAACAGTACAGAAATTGACAGTTATTGTTTCCTCTGTTACAAGTTCTTTATTTTAAACAGTTTCCCTTTCACATGCAGTATAGTTACTGGTATATAGAGAAAAATCACCATTGAGCTTTTAACATATGTAACTGGTTATCTATTTCTTAAAAAGTCACTTTTGTCAATTCTTAAGAAGTTTTAGACTATGAAACTGTTCAGACACTTTACAGTAAACAGCCCACCCAACTAGACAAAAGGAAGAACTCTTTGTTCTCACCTGTCTTATTAGATCCTCTTTCTTTTTGACACCGCTTAGTTTCTGCCAGACATGCTTTGGACAAACGACAAGCACTTATCTATGAATGACCTCAGAAATTCTCCCACCTTCACAAACACCTTGCTTTTCGTTTAAACATCTGTTCCCATTCAACCCAGCAGCTGCATTCTTACACCCACGTAACAAATTCAAAAAGCCTCTGGTATGGCCACAGGCACATGGCATCATCATCGGTACTATGTCTAATTTAGTTTGATGCTTCTATTATTTTTAATTCATTATTTCATGATTCCTTCCCTAAAACATTCATATTCATGCTGATGTTCAAAGGTCAATATTTTTCCATTGCATCTCAAATGGCTTTAAAAAACTAATACTTTAATAAAGCAGCTTGCTTTTTTCTACTTTTTAGCCCAATTCAATGTAAAAGTTTAATGTCTATATCAATTTAAAGCCATGATCTAAAGCTCTCAAATGATCCTAACTTAGTTTTAATGACTTTCATTAGAGACCCTCTCCAATATGATTTTTCCTACTTACCACTTTTTATAAAGTCTACGTGTGCTTCTTTGTGATGGAGAAGCTCTACATCATAATTGGCAGATGTGTTAGCATGTTGTTCTTCCTTTAAATGGAAAAGAAATGAAAAAACAATCCTGTTTATTGCTTTAAGTAGAGATTTATTGAATAATGATATTCTTCATTTTTTTCTTTCACTCCCATAGAAAATAAAGCTGCAAAGTGCACTGGATAAAGGATTATAATGCTGACAAAATTATTTGTTCTCTGATCCATCTATTTAAAGATGTAGTTCCCTGTTTTTATATATTTTTTAAACTACAATACTCCAATTTATAAATATGCCATAAAATATCCACATTGCAAAACAGATAGATAAAGGAGAGGGACATGCATTCTAGTTTTTTTCTTTCCTCTTTCTTGCAAAATGTAACAGCAAAGTGTGTGAGTATGAGTGTGATTCTAGTATCTTGTATCCAGAGGTAAAAGAAACTGAAACACCTGTTTCAGCTTCCTAAGCAGAAGCCAGTAATTAAATCCACTGATTACAAAAGCAGTTGGCAGTGTCATTTGTCATATCTGAGAATTTTTTCTTAACCTGAACTAATAAAGGCATTCACTTACAATAGTATTTATCTTCTTGCAGTTAAGGAATAAAAGCTATCTTAGTTTGAATTGCGGGTATAAAGTTAAAAAATGAATATTCTGTCAAAGGACAGTGCAACTTTAAACAGCTACAGCAGATTACCAAAAAACTGAAGAGTAATAATTGCAATTTGACTTAACCCCCCCCCCCCAACATATTTTAGTACTAAAAAAAGCACAAAGGCAGGATGAAGAAGCTTAACTAGCAGTACACAGGTCAGTAAGTTACAAACAATGTATCTGCAAACCTAAATAAATAAATAAAATCACATTTATGCTGTGATCCATGTTAGTTTCCCTCGGGTCATCCAAGCAAATCACTTTTTTAAAAGTAAACCACCTCTTTAACCTATGAAATCCATGGACTGGTACTTTTTTTTCTTTCTTACTTCTGTGTATAAGCACTAGCTAGTAATATTAAGACTTCATTTTTTGTGCATTCTTTCAATCTGTTTATAAACAGGCTTACTGTGCTTCAGGTCTGGCAGCAAAATACAATTTAAACTGGGGCTCCTATTTATTAAAAGCCATTTAGGATTTTTAGTTGCATTTATCTTCATGGCCACTGGGATGGCTATCAGTTAATTTCAAAGAAAAGTAAACAACTAGCAACATCTGTAGCTTCTAAAGAAAAAGCTGCATTAAAAACCTGTCATTATTAGCTGCACTTGTAAACCCACCCCTCAAGCTTTCCATCAATTTATAAACTTTAATTAAAAACCATTATCTTCTGGTTAAAATTTAGTTATAGACACCTTTACGTTGGGTGGGCATGAAAATTAAACAAAGGAAAAAGACTCACTAGGCCACTAAAGTGCACAAGGTTCAAGAATATCTAATGAACACAACAGTAAAAAGACAAAAGAATCACAGAAAAAAATAACTAAAGGCAAACAAGATTATAGTTATATAAAATAACAAACAGAACAGAAATAACAGTTGTATTGCTGAATATGAATTGTCAATATAGCAATACAACATTTTGTTCTGTGATCCTCCTTTTAAAAATTTACTAACCTGGTCACAGACACTGAATGTGGGCTAATAAAAAAAACAGAGAATATGATATGGAGAGAAAAACAATATAAAAACACTATTAAAATAAATATTAAATTTTCCAAAAAAAGTAAAAGTTGATGATGTAGCTACTTAACATGAAGCTATAGCTACACTCTTACCTTCATAGGAATATTGGTTATTGTAGTTGAAGCCAAATCAAAGTGTTGCTGTACTAAAACATTCAGTTTGGTAGCAAGATGCCGTCCAGCACGGACACTATGCACTTCACTGGTTAAGACAGATGAAAGCTTTAAAAAAAAAAAAAAAAAAAAAGATACAGAAAACACGGTGTAAGTGGATCAGTTTTTCAGAACTTTAATCTACAGAAGAGTTGCACCAAACATAATATAAGACTGGGTGTGTATGATATTTCTTCAGAAAGAAAAAGATTAAAAATATTTATAAAGTAACCTGAGGTACTGCAATGCTATACAGTTCAGTCCGTCTTAATTTAGTCAGTCAATTTAATGTGCTCAACACACCGAGCTGTTGGCTAGAAGGGTCACAGTTAAGAGGAGTCAGTATCACACAAGATTGGAATCCAGGATGTCCCTAATCCTAGTCCCAGTTTGGCGAATTCTTTGTCACAGGGCCTGAAGTCCTCTCTAGCTTTGTTTTCCAAGCAACATTTAATGCACCTACCTGACTAGTGTTTTTTCATATATGTTTTTTATAATGATCAGGGATATTTTTTTAAAAATATTCTGAGATAGATAGATAGATGTATTTCTGAACTGATAGAATGACTATGAGGTAGTCATGTCTAATTTTCCTCCATTAGTGACACTGATGTGTGCCTCTGAAGTAATGATATCCTAAGAACTATTTGAGAGAGAAAATTTAGGATACAATAAGAGTCTGATCTATCCATCTCAGAATCTTTTAATATATCCTAAGTGTCACTAGCTTCCTAACTAGAGGTGCACCGATATATCAGTCCAATATCAGATTGACACCGATATAAAGAAAATTTACTATATCAGAAATCGGCCGTATCAGGCCGATAATTTGGCTGATAAATGGCCTGTGCATGTGCACAGCCACAGCGTAGCACAGGTGGTGAGGAGCATAGTTGGCAGCTTGGAGAGCTGTATCCAGCTGGTAATTCTGGTGTTGTGGAAGTGGGGGTGGGCAGGGATGTGGAGGGGCAGATCAAGGCCCCGTGGTGAGGGGGGCTGTAGCTGTAGCTCCACTGAGGTCTTCAGGGTGGGCTGGGGCAGGGCTACACTCACAAATTCATTGCAGCTCCTTCCCAGTGCAGCCCTGCCCCACCAGGAAGAGCTTGGCACAGCCTCAGCCTGCCCTGCGCAGACCAGAGGGCACACACCCCACACTGACCTCCTTGGACGAGTGGTGGGAGCTGCCAAGCAAGTACCGGATGAGCCACTGAACCAGTGGCTCTCTGACAAGTGGCGCACAGCAGCAGGAGCCGCTCCCCACCCTTTCTGCACAAGCCGTGGCACCAGGGCTGTCCCTAGGGAGTGGACAAATCGGGGCAACCACCCCAACCCTCGCAGAGCTGGGCAGAGCAGCTGCAGAGACTCTGCACCACTGCCTTTACATCCAGTTGCTTGCTCCACCCCCCCGATTGGTAGCAGCAGCTTCTTCAGGTCAGAGGCATGTAGGATCAGAGTGGGGGAGGGGCCCCGCATGGGCTGATTTGCCCATGACCCCGCTCAGGTTGGTGCTGCATGGCACTGTCCCGTACCTGCCCTGGCAGTGCTTACCCCAGCCCCTGCCCCAGCCCTACACCTCCCTCACAGTGGGGCCCTTGATCTGCCCTTCCATACCCCCTTCCTTCCCCCCACACCAAACTTACCAGCTGGAAGCAGCTCTCCACGCTGCCAGGCTGGGTATTGGAAATCAGATCAGTATTGGCTGATATGTCTCCTTAAAAATCAGCTACCAGTATTGGCTGCAAAAATTTCTATTGGTGCACCCCTATCCATAACCATATATAGAAAAATGCACGTCTATGCAAGACACTTAATGCGCACTAGTGTAATAACACTGCACAGTAGTGTGCTAGGCAAAAAAAAATGTTAATAAGCTCCTGTGCAATAGCATTAGTCTACTGCACAGTAAGTGTCACTAAAAAGCCATGCGCTGGCACTACTGCATAGTAACTGTACTAAACTAAGCAAGTACTAAACTAAATGCGCAGTAACTACTGCACATTAACGAACGTGTAAACACACCCAGTGTGTTATTCTATAGGAGGAAAAGTACTATATTAATTTTTGCTTTCAGAATGACAGCGTTGGCTGTAGTTTATGGAATGATACAGATATATCCCGTATCAATCTTTTCACACTTTCAATAACTAAATATATATTTTTAGGACACTGCCAAATTATATTTTTAAATATACCTTTACTTCTATTATAGACAAAAATGTTAAGATTATTAAAAACAGAGAAAACTGGGGAAAAGTGACACAAACCATTGTGTATATATTTTATTTTTGACTTACAGTAACTATTCAGATAATTTATAAATGCATGTTACTGAGCACTGAAAATATTAACCTAAAATAATTAACTGAATATACTACCACTATTTATAATATAGTCTTATTCCTATGATGTTTATTTACTGGTAGCTGAATGAAATTCTAAAAAAGGATTTGCCTACATCTGTTTCCAAAGAGTAAGTATTGTATTTAAGCAAATTTAAGACAAGGTTTTTCTCCCAATTCAACATGGAGGTGCAAAGAAAAACCTGGTCTCAGATTCAAGTACCAATGGCAAGGGATGCTGGCAGCTGCAGTTATAGCCCTGACCCCACCCCAGGCCCAGGGCTGCTACCTGCCACTGGGGGGCCAGAGCTGTTGTTGTTGCTTGGCTGGGGTGACTTAAGGTGGACTGTATAGGAGAGAAGGGAGTGCATGGCAGCAGGAATGCAGGGGAAATTGTACAGTGCGGGGGAAGCAGAGGAGCATGGTAGACAGCAAGAGAGCTCCTTTAGCCCTAGCCCAGGGATGGGCAATTATTTTGGGCAGAGGGCTACTTACTGAGTTTTGGCAAGCTGTCGAGGGCTGCTTGGGTAGCCCTGCCCCTTGACAGGTGCCCCGCCCCCTGGTCACCATCTAGAGACCAGAAGTCCTGCCCCTAGCCTCTGCCACCAGAAATCCCTCCCCATGCCCAGTACTCCTTTGGGGAAGAAGGTTTGCCATCTTAAAAGGGGGGGGGGGAAACCAACTATACACTAAGAATCAAAACACACAAAATAATATATTTTAAGTTAATAAAAAAAAAAAAGTTTTTTTCCTGATTTGTGCGCGTTTGCGCTGTATATGTAGAAGTGATTGCATAATAGCTCAAATGCAATCTTACTCTTATATAGTGTGTGGGGTGTGCAGGGATGTCAGGGGGTATGGGTGGGTGTGGGGAGCTGTGTGTGTGTGTGTGTGGCTGTGGTATTTGCGAGAAGGGTTTGAGGGTATGTGGACTGTGCATGGGAGACCCGCACATCCCCCACCCACTCCGAGCCAGTCAACACCTGCCCTCACACCACAACAGCCCAGAGCTCAAGCACCCTGCAGTGCCTGCCTATCACCACCAACAGTGCGCAGCCCCAGGACGCCCCGTGCCCACTCTGCACCGTCTGGCCACAGCAAAAACTGCCTGGCAGTGGAAAGGAAGAGATGCCACTTTCCACTGTGCCAAGCAGCAGTTTCTGCCCAGCTGTTACTGCTCAGCCCCAACAAGCAAGCCAAGAGCCAGCATGGGGCCCAGGCTCAGCAGCAGCAGTGCAGGACAAACTGTTGCTTAGCGCAGGGGAAAAGTGGCCCCTCCCACTGCTGGCGCTTCCTGGTGCAACCGCTTGAAGCCCATGCAGGACTGCCCTGTGTCTGCTCTGCACTGCCACCACTGTTGCACAGGGCAGCCCAGAGGTGGCAGTGATGCGGTAGAGATGCAGGATAGCTCTGTGTGGGCTCCAAGCGGCTGCACCAGGAAGATGGGGGAGATGGAGGGAGAGGGGCTGCTTTCCCACATGCCGAGTAGCAGTTTGTCCCACGCTGCCAAAGATCAGCCCAAGAGGGGTGAGCGCAGGGCACGTGGGGTTGGTACTATGTGCGCTAGGCCCCACCTGTACTGTGGGGCTGGGGGAGTAGGAGCAAGTGGGCACATGGGAACACAGTGCCAGCAGGGCCCAAAACAGGATGGCAATAGCATGGGCTCCTGGCCAGCAAGGGCTCTATGGAAGCAGGCCAGCTCCCCTCTCTCTCTGTTGGCACAGCCCAGCCCAGCTCCACAGACTCCTGCCAGCCCACGCCCTGCTGCTCTGGGCGCTGCCAGCTCTGGCCCTGTGCTTCTGCATACCCGCTCGCTTCCACTGCTTTCCTGCCTACCCACTGGCGGCTCCTAATCACGTGGTTCCTGGCTGTATGGCCACAACAGCAGAACTCATCAGGAGGACTGGGGTGATAGCATGCAGTTCTCCCCTGCCCGTCCCCCACCCTTCTTACCTGAATTTCCTGTTCCGGTGCAGGGAGACAGGAAGAACCCCATGGTCCCAGGCTGGAAGCCTCTGCCAGGTAAGGGCTTCTGCCAGGGAAAGTGGGGGGGCGGGGGGGGG